ATATTATAAAAAAATAAAAATAAACCAATACAAAAAGACAACAAAAAATTTTTAAAAATACATATGAGAAAACAGAAAAAAGAAAAAAAAAAGGAAAGAAAAGATGAAAAAGTGGAGAGAAAAAAGAGAGGAAAGAAAAGGAAATAGAAGGAGATGAGAAAGAAAAGGGAAGAGAGAAAAGAAGAGAGGAAATGACAAAGAAAAAGAAGTAGAAAAAAAAAATAGTAAGAAAAAGAAGGAGACGAGAGGCAGAAGAGAAAAGAAAGAGAGGAAGAAAGGAAAAGAAAGAGAGGAAGAAGAGAAAATGAGGAAAAGGAAGAGAAGTGGTGATATATATAAGGCTTATACGGACTGTTTTCAGTCCATATAATCCTTATTGGCGCGCCATAACAATAAATTACAATTTTTTTGGGAAAATTTTTGGTGCATTAATAATATTCAGACTGAAATCGGTCTGAATACAAATAAATTAGCGCAGAATAAGAAAGATTCAAATTTACGGTAAAAATTTGGCGCATAAATTAATTACGGACCATAAGGCTTATACGGACCGAAAACAGTCTGAATATAAATAAATTAGCGCAGAATCATAGAGATTCAAATTTACGGTAAAAATTTGGCGCATAAATTAATTACAGACCGATTTCGGTCCGTATATGTATTGACAACACAATTGATCACATTAATATATTCGGACTGATTTTGGTCCGAATATATTGGGAAAAAATTTACATGGCACATTTTTATTCTTTTCATTTAAGGACATCACCATTTTCTCGTGTCCTCAATCCATTCCTGTGAAAACTAATTGTATGTACATCAACCCTGCAATTCCTTAGAACCACGAAAGCATCGATTGTCTACCTAAAATTATCTTATAATGGTACTGAATAATATTGTTGCAAAACCACAAATGTATAAGTTTCAGGTTATTAGAGATAATGTTACGTAATGCTCTTTCGGAGTAATAAGCAAATAAAATTCTTTTTTTTTTCTTAAGGTTAACCACTTTGGCTTGCAAACATTCGGAATGTTACGGTTTAAAACGAGAGTAGAACGACTTAAGCATGAAATCACAAAAAAAATAAAAAGTGTTGTTCAGGGGAATATACGGACCGATCCCGGTCCGTATACATATATATAGACCGATATCGATCCGAATATAGGCAATCCGAGGGATTTTTTACCCCAGAGCTAAATTAAATTAAGTATAAATATATATACGGACCGGTTTTGGTCTGAATATATGCAAACAATCCAGAAGCTTCCATGCTTTTCATTTTTTAGACCGATTTTGGTCCGAATATACTAGGAAAAATCCAGAAACTTCTCCAGTGCACATTTTTATTCATTTCATTTAAG